ATATATATATATATATATAAAATATACAAATTTTATATATTTTTCGGCTATTATTTTTACAGCGGCCAGACGGTGATATTTTTCCTTAAATCTTGTATCTTTGGCGGCAGATAAGTTGGTACATGAAAGGTTCACAACCCATGAAGGCAGATAAATCATCTGTCTATCCCTTACTTTCTTGAAAGTTTTAGGTGACGTTTGGATAATCTTTTTGGAAAAGTTTAAAATTCTTAGGAAGAATAAATTATGATTGAATAACAATTACAATTGTATTAGTATTGGATAATTTTCAAAGGTAGAGAAATTTAAGAATGCAACTATTCACTTGCTTGAAACTTGAAATCTTAGATTCAATGCAGGGTGAAATTATGGTACTCAATATAGATATTTAAAATTTTCTAATGATAAATTCAGAAGACTTTTATTCTATCTGAATAATTTACATTTACATATAAATGATTCCCAAAGATGAGAACACTGAAAAATAAAATTATAAATCAGCAAAGACATGGTAAGTTTTAGAGTCAACTGTAATGAGCTTCAAAGCAGCTACAAATGCAGCAACTGCTATACAACTAAAGAAACAAATATTAAGCCAATGCCAACTCTTCTGTAATAATGACAATTTCTTTCTCCTAGCAACAAGGTACATATGATTTGGAAGAATAAATGTGAGTGGAAATACACTAATAGCCCCAGTAAGACTCATGAAATCTCCCAGAAAAGGCAATAGAGCAGAGAGGAAAGTTGTAATGGCTATATAACCACCTCTAACAATAATTCTGAATCCCAAGTTTTTAATAGCCAATGCACTCCCTTTAGTTCCATATCTTGTGTCCAAGAACTCGTACGTCGGACTCGCAAATATCTAGAATCATAAATAGAATCAACATTCAGTGTACTAGAGCACAATTAGAGATATAGCAGGTATATGCGCAAACACAAATCTAGATTTATAGTTAGTGAGTTTAGAATGAGTCTAGTAAAAAGGCAGTCCGATGCACTAAGTTCCCGCTATACGCGGGGTTCGAGGAATGGCCTGACCTCAAGACTCTATTGTACGCAGTCCCTGCATTTCTGCAAGAGGTTGTTTCCACACCTCCCGGTCACATGAAAACAATTTTACAGTTACGTCAAGGCTCCCCTTCATTCAGAATGACTCTAGTATATACATATATACACAAGCATAGACTTTTTGCATATATATTTATGGATCGAGCTGAAAGCAATGAGTTCAGTTGAACGCACTAAAATAAGAGCAGAGTGATAATTACATGCAACGCGATGATAGCTTGCAAGAAAGCAGCAATGTTAGCGATTCCCTTCAACCAAACTGGACCACTGACATTGTTCAGCAAATAGGAAGATGCATTGGATCCATAAGCCCAATATCCAATATAAGTAACAGCATGCATTGGAACAATGCCTAAAGTGAACTGAAAGTTGAGGGCTTTAATCATGTTCTTGACAACTGGTTCTCTCACAGTAGCCTACAAGAAAGACGCGAGATTGTGAGAATTAAAAACAATGGAGAAAACAAATTCAAAAGATGATCAAAGTATCTGTATGTAAGGACGACGATAAGACTTAAGAATAATTGTCATTCTTCTATCATAACTTAAAAAGAGTCTCTTCAGTGGAATGTTGTACTAAGTTTAGATTCAAGAAGCAAAGGTAATCAATAGACAACCAAAACATTGCCATACCATAAAATGCAAAAAACCAACTCATGTCAAGAAATTCACTACCTTTGACTTCATAATAAGTCAGGCTGTTGACAAAAAAAAATCATATACATAAATAAAGTAATCAAAATTCTAGGTCAGCTACCTGTATCTCTGGAAGCATTCCTGTGTTATATGCGAAAACAAGGTTTGCAGCAGCACCAATTGTTGTCCAAATCCTACTAACTTTGGTTCCTGGAATATTGTAGTCGCGAGGAGGTGCCTCAAGACCTGCAATTCAGGATATTTAGAAAGGATGAAACAAGACAGGATTGGGAATCCTAGTGGCAAACCACATCTTCATACACTAAGATATGATCAATTTTACTTATTAATAAGGTACAGCAGAAAGGAATAAATTTCCGAAAATGCTGTAGTTAACTTAACAGTATGCGTACATTGAAAATTTTAATGTGTTTTGACTCAAGAGATTAAGGAAGCAGAAGCATACCGTCTTTAAGAGACAACACAAACGCTATACAAACATACACTAGACTGAAGAATGTTGAAAACCCCAGCCAAACCCTTAAAGCTGACAAATGGGGTATAGCAATTGCAAAAAAGACACAGGCGAATCCAGCTAGCGCAATGAAGTATGGCAGTTTCATCTGATGATCATCCCTAAAGAGAATATAGAAAGCCTGCAATCAAGTAATTGGAATCATCCCATCAGAAAACCAATGAAGCTTAAAGATAGAATCAAAAAGTGAGAATTTCTATACAACAACAACTTCGCCTTAGTTCTAAGCAAGTTTGGGTCGGCGATATGAATCCTCACTTCTTTCTTCAAGCTCGTGTCATATAAAGCAAGAAGAACAAAGCAATGAAACTTGCATTTATACTTGACAAAACACATTTTCTTTTCATATTTCCTTTTCCTTTCCACTCATTTATCCTTGTTTTTTCCTCACTGGACCAAGAAAGTTAAATGGCAGCTCGGGTCACAAAGCATCCCATGTTCACGCAGGGTCAAGGGAAGGGCCATACCCCTAGGGGTTATTATGTAGGCAGTCTACCCTGATGCAAGTATCAGTGGCTGATTCCACTGCTCGAACACACGGAAACAACTTAACCGTTCCTCTGAGGCTCCCCTTCTGGACCAGGAAAGTTACAAAAGCAAATTACCTTTAAGGCCTGTCCGCCCAAAATGACAAATCCGCTATTTATCAAGAAAAGATTTGCATACTGTAATGCCCAAACAAGCGAATAGGCTGTCCGTCCTGTAGTAGCCAAAATCCCATTTTAAGACCAATGGAATCAAAACCAGATAAGTCACAAAGGAGAAAAAATCAACTGAAATTGAAATGCAAACTTGACTATGTGTTTGATAAATTTTCAACAACGCGTACCGTATATGAATCCTGCAAGATCTCTATATCTGATATGCCTCTTTCCCCGGTATTCGTGGAGCTTAGCGATAAGCGTACTTGCATATAGCGATATAGCTGATGATAAAATTAGACCAACCACACCACCAACCCAACCTAAAGGAACCATGATTATTCCAGCATACCCGAGAGCAAAAGCACTGTTGACACCA